CTCACCTAGAATATTTCAAAGAGTACTTAATACAGTTTTAGGTGATTTAATTACCAATATATGTTTCGTCTTTATTGACTATATCATTATTTTCGGAGAAACAGTAGACGAAGTCAACGAACGCGTTTATAAAATAGCTCAAAACCTGAGAGAAGCTGTTTTAAAACTCAAACCTTAAAAATGCGATTACCTAAAAACAGAAGTATCTTTCTTAGGGCACATTATAAGTAAATCCGGTATCTAACCAGACAAAAAAAATACAAGCCGTTGAAGCTTTTCCGACACCGAAAGTAACAAAAAATGTAAGAGAATTCCTCGGACTTTGCAATTCTTATAGACGCTTTGTTCCGAACTTTGCTGAAATAACAAAACCGCTAACTATACGAGTACTTCTGTACAAAAATGTAAAATTTTTCTGGAAAGTAGAACAACAACAAGCATAGGATAAACTAAAGAAATTACTATGCGAAGCTTCCATTTTACAATATCCACAATTCGACAAGCCTTATATTGTTAGAACAGATGCGTCAAACTACACTCTAGGTAAGGTGCTCTCTCAAGAAGAATTAGGTTACGACAGACCCATCGCTTATGCATTCAGACTTTTAAGCAACACAGAACAAAATTATATGACTTATGAAAGAGAAGCCCTTGTAATAATCTTCGCGATCAAAACATTCCAAACCTACTTATTTGATAACAAATTTACTGTAGTAACTGATCAGAACCCTCTACTCCTATTAAAGTCAGCTGATAATAATAACAGAGTGCAAAAATGGCGATTAAAATTAGTCGATTACGACTTTGACATAATTTACCGCCCGGGTAAAGAAAACGGCCCAGCTGATTGTTTATAGAGGAACCCTTGTTTATAGAAGCAAAAACATACGTCACGTCGCGGGCACAGAAAGCAAAATTAAAAGACGAAATAATACCAACGCAAATATTAAGAAACAACGATAAAATAAAAATTATGAATAACACAAAAATTCAAAAAAATAATTAAAAAAAATGAACACGTAAACTCAGCAGTACCAGTAATACTCAAAACAGAAAGAATGAACTCATCAACAAAGACAGGATTACTAACACTTACTGTAATAGCGAAAATATCATTTATAGTGAAAATTCAATACAATTTCCAAACGATAACATTATTCACATAATCTCTGAGAAACATAAAGAATTAAATGAAAACACGAATAATATACTAATAAAAAATAATCTAAAAATCAATCAAATCTTGTCTATAAATAAAATAAAAACAATAAATTATAGAAAAAAGAAAATATTTATTTTATGTTTAAATACTGCTACATCAGCAGAAATAAAAAAAGCAAAGTTTAATCAAGCTGTTTGGAAATTTGAACACCTTTTAATACAAAATAACATTTCGACAGTAAGCATTTAAAAAAATATCAACATAATAAACATGGTGGTCGGAAATAGAAAACATATTCAAAACAACTTTCAAAGGAAGTAATGTTAAAATCATCGTTTGCATAAATTATATCAAATATGTGCATCATTTAGATCAGAAAAACGAATTTTTTTAAATATATCACTTCTAAACTCAAAGGTCATTCAGGAATTAAACGAACTTACAATAAAATTAAAGAGAAATATTGCTGGGAAAATCTAAAGAAAGACATAAAAAGAAGAATTTCAATGTGCCAGGAATGTCAAAGAAATAAATTAAAACGAAAACCAGCGAGACGAATGATGACTTTGACCGACACACCTTTCAAACCGTTTGATAAAGTCACCGTGGATATAATGGAACCGTTCGAGATTACAAAAAATAATAATCGATATATACTTACAATTCAAGACCAACTCTCAAAATTTATCACTCTAAGAGCATTAAAAGATCAAACCGCAAAAACAATAAGCGAAGGTTTTATAAAAAAATTCATTTGCATTTTCTGAACACCATAAGTAGTATTAACAGATAAGGCTCAAAACTTTAAAAGTAAATAGCAAAAAGATTTCAATTCGAAAAGATTGAAACAACATCATTCTCCCCACAATCCAACGGCTCTATGGAGAGGGCAAAGCATCCTCTCTGTGAATATATCAAACAATTCATATCAAAATAATGTGAATGGGACGAACTCTTAGAATTAGCACAATTTAATTATAATACCATCATTCACACTGGTTACAACTTCATGAACTTATTTTTTGCCTTTCCAGCCAAACTACCATCCAGCGTACCTCTAAAAAATCCAAACAATTACCAACCTTTAATGAATACTTAGAGAACTTAATAAAAAATATGAACGAACTATCACACATGGCTAGGGAAAATTTGATAATTTCAAAACAAAAATCAAAACAATACTATGACGGATTTATAAATCCTATAGAATTCAAATTCAGAGACAAAGTCTGGTTCATGAAAGAACCAAACCCGGGAAAATTAAAAAAAAATAAATATGTAGGACCTTTTGAAATATTAAAAGTAACAGAAAAGGGCAGCGATGTAATTAACGGTAAAGGAAAACCAAAAGCAGTTCATGCGAATAAATTAAGTTTAGTTAAACTGTGACAAAAGTAGATTGTTGCCTATTTCTCGTCGGTCCCTTTGCCTTCCCCCTTTGCCCTTGGCGAGGCTCAGTGGTCAGTATTAGGCGCACTTTTCTATGCGCCTAATATTGTACTTGTTTTTCAGCCGCCATAAATTACCAGGCCCGGCTAAGATAGCCTAAAGAGAGCGAGAGAGAGCGTTGCAGAAGAACCAACGTAAGAAGACGTTGCAGTTTAAGAAAGAGAGAATGAGAGAGAACTAGAAAAGAGAGAGAGAGAGAGAAAGAGAGAAAGAGCGCTCGCGTGAGCGCACGCTAAGCGGTTATTAGGCAGGCGGGCAACGCGCGATCAATTAGCGCTTTGTCGCACGCCGCCGAAAAATGGGCTAAGTAGGGATAGTTTGGAGAGAGCGAGAGAGTATTGCATGGCGTCAGTCAGTCATTCATTCTACGTCAGCAAATAATCGGGGTCAGTCCAACAAGGAATTAGTTCGCGCTGTCACCATCTGCCCAAAACCAAATCGAAAGAGCAAACATCAGTATCAGCCAAGCCATAAAACCATTCTTTAGAAAGCAAGACCTGACTTTGGGACAAACGAGGTAACAACAACCTTTCGAATGACGGATACCCACCAGCGTGAACGGGGATGACCGAAACGCAATGGGGAGACGTACCTCGGTATGTCGAAACGATGGACCTGTGAGTCGTGGGAGAAATCTCTTAATACAGGTACGCAGGGTGGGATGTTTTTCGAACGCGAGCCCAGGAGGGGAGGCTTAGTTAGTTGATCGTCTTAGGAATTTCCTTTGGCTGTCCTGGCTGAGACTCTCTTCTGACATCCCAATTTGGGTTGGCCTCTGCGGGGTAGTGGTACCAGGTCAAGCAAATCTCGTAAGATTTGTACACTGCGTGCTTCCGACGCAGTAGACGTTGGGGCAACTAGAGTCCCGTCGCGCCCAAACCGAGGGTCAAACCTTTAGTTCCGCTCTCCTTGAGCGTTGAACCTTGAAAAGATCGGTACTCCTCTCGAGGAGGTCGCCGCCTTAGATGAAAAAGGTTCCGCCTCGCTGTGTGCGTCAGGGATGTCGCAGCAAACTTGACTTCCGGATCTCCAAAATGTTTGAAAGCGAAGGAGTGAAAGACAGTGGGCTATGCCAACCTGATTGGTGCCCAGCGAGAAGGGTGGTAATGTTTGATTACGCTGTGCCACCCTCAAATCGGAAAAGTGTGACAACACACAAACACTAACTGTCACCATCTGCCATTGTTTCCTGGAAGAAGAGGTTGGCTGCCTTTCATCCCGAGAAGCTCCACGCCCTGGCCTTCGTCAGAGCGCGCACCAGCTGCAGCAGCGACAACGACAAGAGGTCGGACAGATGGCCTGCACCAATTTACCACCTACGCTATCAAGAGATCATCGAGGAGAAAGACAAAGATCAGGTTATCTCTCTCTCAGTTATTCTCTATCTCGCAGTGATCTGATCTTTGCATTAGAATAAGTTGCATTACTGTTAAGATGTTTTAAATTTTTGATTAGTTTCATGTTGTAGACATTCGAATTAGGTATTCATAGTTGATTAGTTCAAGCGCGTGATTGTTTGAATTATAAGTTAATAAAAGGTTTGTGATTTGGTATAAATAAAATTGGTTATTTTCTTGCTTACTCTTCCGATTGCATCTAGAGCGAAAGCGACTTCTCTTACCTTCCCCTTTTAAATTAGGTAGCAGTGCATCAAAATTGTTACATGATATCCCTTATGGGGAAGGATGCAAATCGGTAGAAAAGGCGAATGCCGGTTAAATTAATAAATTATGGTATATTAATCGTAAACCAACGGCAAAAATTCGTGCTCGTTGCGCTTGTTCCGCGAAGGAATTTAGTTGTTTCTGGAAAGTTCGAGTTTCCTTGTAACGTTTTTTTATCAAGGAATCGGGTAACAGTATGTGCGCCGCTTAGAGTTTTTGTTTTGTTTTGGTTTTAAGTTGCCGGAATTTTCTTCATAGTGTTTTCTTTTGTGTGCCTTATTTACGATATTTTGAACGGTTTTCTTTCTTAGGCTTAAACAAGGCGACCTTTCACCGGTTCAAAACTTAGAAACAATTTTAAATAAGGTATTTAGAAGTGCCGGGTGCAATAGCTCGTGGTCGAGGTACGTGTTATAGTTCGCATACGAAATAATTTTTTTTTTCCAAACGGAAAATGTCGCTAGCCTGTAGAGACAGGATTATTATGAGCAGAATATTACGCGACAAGCACACGAAAAACCTTAAACGCGAAATTGACTTAGCAGAACCGGCCATAGATTTGTAACCGCCGATATAACCGAGTGATTTCACGCTTGGTCGGATCCCAGATTTGCCTCATAACGACCCGCGTGAAGCAGCAGAGGACATCGCGCGATGCGCAAACTTCGGCGACGAGTCCGCAATGGCCGCTACGCCCTTGGCGGCTAAATTACCTCGTGAACAAGAGTAGGCAACGCAGGTATCAAGCGTCGCCGATCCGCGCAGGCAAGCCCAGTCGCCGGTGCTGCCGATAACGAAAACAAGCTGCCGTCAGTGGCCCAGCTGCCGTCGGCTAGCACGAACATACGTCCGCGCAAGCTGAAACGCCGAAACCAAAGCGAAAGCAGCACCGGAACACTAAGCCAAATATGGGTGGCCCTTACTGCAGTACCGCGTTGGATTTATAGGCCCGAGGTTAACCAGAGTATCACGGATGCTGCGAATGCAGTTTTTAGGGTTGAGAGTGAGGCGGTGCACAGGACAACGACTCAGGCCGAGCAGCAGGCTTCATTGCCGCCTCAGGACAAGTCGCTCGGCGATCGCGTGGCGCTAAACGTGCTAGTGGTTGCGACTGAGCTACCGGCTCACGCGAACGCACCAAACGATAGAACAGGTAGTACGTTCCTCTACGCCGATTCAGATAGATCGGCGAGCACGAAGTATCACGCGCCAAGGGTAAGTTCTTGGGTTGAAAACTGGGAGCGTGAGGTATGGCACGGTGATCGTTTAAAGACTTCAGGTTTACCTGAAATGACGAAAAATTTTGAGTATGGTATTCTATGGTAATTCACCCGTAGAATTCAAAAATAAATGTCCCGAAATCGCATTTGCTCCCCTTTCAAAGAAATATTCAAAAATATCATTTTTTCTTATTTTTGATCAAAAATTGTACATTTGACAGAGGAAAATGAAGTACACTACTTAATTTTGATACAAATAGTAAACATTTTTATTATTCTCGTACAATTCAGTGTTTTATAAATGAAACGAAGAAAATTCTACAACAGCATCTTTCAATCTTTGAGGGTAGGACAAGTCACTTATCAAATTTATTTTCCTTTTCTCCCAAAATCGCAAAAATTCTCTGTGTGCAGATTCGCCAGCTTGTTCTGACCATAGTCCTAAACCTTCTCAATGTTCGAAAAATGTTAAACAATCTTTAAGATGCTCAAACAAAACATGTAGTTTCAAAGTGATCGAGACATCTGTTGCCATTACTGCGTTTGCTAGTTCTTTAAGTAATTTGTCTAGCTCATTTATATTCCCAATTTTTCTTGTAGAAAAGCAAAAATCGACTACTTTATTCATGGCCTTGAATGCACTTACGTAAGGTATCAAAAGAAATTTACCTACATCTCTATAAATATTAGGATCCAGTAATTCATCGGGTTCTTTTAGTAATTTTCTGCATGCATTACCTTCAAAAACTTCACCGTGATAATTTTTGGATACTAATTTCAGTTACATTGGCCAGAGTAGTGCTCTTTCTCGACCAAGTAGCGGTACTAGATCGTCCCAAAAAAGTTGGTTGACAAACCCTTGCAGAATATGTAGCTCAGGTATAATGCATTTTTCCAGTATACATAAATCATTTTCCTCTACAAACAGTGGCTCATTTACTGTACTGTGGCAATCTTTTGAGAATTTAGTTTTACAACCTAAAGTAGTAACATATTTCTTTCTATCTCTTTTCAAATCTCCATATGTTTTCAGAGCATAACGTTTGTCTCTATCAGTATTATTAATTCTTTCTTTATTGGCTCTCATGTCTGATAAACTAATAAAACAATAAGGACACGGAAATGTAGCTGTCGCTGTTTTTGGCCATTTACTATCAATAATACTTTGAAATCTGATGTGAATTTGAACGAAATATCATTTATTTTTATCAAATCAAAAAGAATTTTAATATTTGCATGTGATTCTTTTATCTCTGGCCCAATACAAACTATTATCAACTTTTTAACACTAGTCTAGTTATTGATGGGATTTATTTCATTATAAACTACTTTTCTTCTTTTTTCTAATGCAGGATCTGTAGATACACCAGATATCACGGACATGCAAATTTTAAAAAAGCCTTGCCCACCATCAGCCATAATCTTAACACGGTAATCACCGATAATATTGCGCTTTTCTACTACATGCTTTAATAATTCTTCAGCATTTGCAAAAACTACAGGCAATTTAGTTTTATCATTATTTTTTCCAGTTTCAAACTCTAAAACCTCACTTTTATATAAATCTTTCAACAACTTCGATCATTCACTTACATGCATTGCATAATTTGCCGGTATAGCTTTTCTCCCTACAGATTTACGAATCAAGCCAGTCATTTTTTTCATGTGATTGTTGGACACACCTGTGGTAGTTTGAAATTCATCTAAGCTTGCAGCAGTAAATATGTTTCTAGGCTGATTTATTTTAGGGTTGAGGCATATTTCGATGGGCTTTCCTAAAGTATGAAGCTCTACTGTCTTATGTGCACTTGTATTTCCTTTTTTGTCAATTTTGTTTTTTATTATTTTAGAAGCAATTTGCTCTTGATTTTTATCTGACAGCTTATCTACTAAATTTATGAGATTTTTACATACAGCTGATGATGAAGTAGTACAAACGTGATTTTTACCTTTGCCTATCTTTTTCAAACACATTTTACATAATTGAATTACTTTTTGAGATTTAGATGTAGAATTCTTACATTTTTTAAGCTGTGTTACTTTTGACTTACATGAGCCATACAAACCATTTGATTCGTTTATCTTGTTTCGTTTATCTCGTTTATCCAGTATTTCTTTCTTTCTTAATTTTGCATGATCAGTACACTTAGCAGTTACGCAGATGTAACAATTACAGTTACCATTCACAGAAGATGTTTGAGCTCGAGTATCTTTCGCAAAGACTATATCATTATATTTTGGTCTTTGTGAAATTTGTCTTTGAAAATTTCCTTTTTTTCGCTCTTGAAGTGCAAGACGACATGAGATACAAATACTCAGGGGAAATCTTGCATCACTTAGATCATAATTTTTATCACAATACTCTCTTACTAATTTTTCAACATTGTCATTAATTAAAAAACTATTCACAGTTTTGTTTCGAAAAACAATTTTTTGCCCACAAGGGCCACACACTTTTTTTCTATTATCTTCATGATTGTATTTATTCACAGGCATAATTTCAATAAAAAAAGTAAATAAGTCACCGACGAAAATGCTTTTTAAGCCGTCTTAACTACACAGCGAAACAGCGAGCAATGTAAACATAAACACAGCCGATCCCAGAGATAGATAACTAGGAGTATTTATTTTATATACGGTGATTGAATATGTTGGTATTTAATGTATAACCAATATATTAACAAATATGGTACCTTAAAAATTTTCTAAATTTCCTGCAAACGTTCTTTTAACAATATTAATCAAATATTACAATGTAATAAAAATGTTTACTATTTGCATCAAAATTAAGGAGTGTACTTCATTTTCCCATGTCGAATGTACAATTTTTGATCAAAAATAAGAAAAAATGATATTTTTGAATATTTCTTTGAAAGGGGAGCAAATGCGATTTCGGGACATTTATTTTTGGATTCTACGGATCAATTACCATAGAATACCATACTCAAAACTTTTCATCATTTCAGGTAAACCTAAAGTCTTTAAACGATCACCGTGACGGGTAGCTACTAGAGATGAAACGCGAATATCAACTCCGCTCGGTGAAGGTTCGATTATAAACAAAAAAAGTATAGTTAGTATGAGGCGGCCTAAACGAAAACAAGCGAGGCGGATAGAAAATATTAGTGGAAGCGATACAAGTTCGGGCTTATCAGATACTGATAGTTGCGACACTAATAAGGTTAAAACGCCTCGGAAAACTAGGCTAATTAAAGCGGAAAGGCCGAGGAAAGAGAGTGCTCCTCCGAGAATCAAGTATATAAATGGTATATCTGCAGACGGAGTAAGCGCGCTCAATGCCTGGTCTCTCCATTTTTCCGGTAAAGACAGTACCAATGCGCTAAGTTTTCTATCTATTGCCAGCTACCTTTGTTTAATTCCTTTTTTGCCGGTAATATGTATTGCGTGTTTCGTTTAGTTATAAGTGTGCGGTAGCCAGGCGATCACTTGCCGGCTACTTTACGAGTTTCTTTGTATTAGAATAAGTCGCGTTACTGTTAAGATGTTTCAAATTTTTGATTAGTTTCATGTTGTAGACATTCGAATTAGGTATTCATAGTTGATTAGTTCAAGCGCGCGATTGTTTGAATTATAAGTTAATAAAAGGTTTGTGATTTGGTATAAATAAAATTGATTTATTTTCCCGCCTACTCTTTCGATTGCATCTAGAGCAAAAGCGCCTCTCTTACCTTCCCCTTTGAAAATAGGTAGCAGCGCGTCAAAGCTATTACAAAACAAATAGATTAATATTTTTTTTATTCTAGTAAACATAATGGTACGAGATTCATTATTTATATTAATACTAATCACTCTCCTCCAATCAAGCAAAGGACTTATGGGGTTCCACTGCAGCTCAACAAATCCGGCCATCACAACTTACTTCCTTGTGGACGCTGGAGAATGTGATTTCCACAAAATAAAAATAAATGCAACACAATCTACAATAGAAGTAATATAAAAAACCGAATTTAGGTCAATAAAAATTATCCAATGTAAAATAGTAATACATCATACAGCTTTCCACTGTGGCATGTTTAGCCATTTAGGTCCAACAGAAAACGCACTTCAAGAATACATCTACGATATATCACACGATGATTGTAATAACATCCACCAAACGGGTATTTTCACATATGATAATGTATATATTATAGCGGGATTAAAAATTAACTCTACGAAAATCTCAAGATTAAATTTAGCAAGAAATATTGAGGGAAAATGTTGTTTAAGTGCGGTGTATGCTGACAATTCCGAAACATGGAGTAATGTTTTCTTACAGGATTTTATAAAAATAACGCTATGGGATAATACACAGCGGTTAGGTTAGAAAGTGATAAAATAACGTTAAATTCGGGTAAAGTATACAAATTTTCAGACCGACATTATATTGATATGGAAAAAGGTTACACTTTCTGACCGTTATTACCACACGAAGACTATTTTATAAATCAAGACAAAATTTTATATAGGGGTCCGGTCACTAAAATAACCTCACCCAATGAAGAAACAATATTTAGCATAAGCACAAAAGAAATATCTTTTGCATTATTAACTAGAGGGAATATAAGTTTTTGTAATAGATTTCTGACAAAAACCGAACACCCAAAACTTCTTACGAGGTGTCTTCAAAAAGTAAGGTGACTTTGTATTTTTAAGAAAAAATATTTATTTATTTATCAATATTTATGTTGTCCCCTCCAAAGTAACCCCCCTCAGATACAATACACTTATGCCAACGGTTTTTCCAATCCTCAAAGCACTTCTCATAAGCACTTTTCGGTATAGCCTTAAGCTCTTTCAGCGATGCAGTCTTTATCTCTTCAATCGTTGCAAATCTCCGTCCCTTCATAGGTCTCTTTAGTTTTGGGAACAAGAAAAAGTCACATGGGGCCAAATTCGGTGAATATGGTGGCTGAGGCATGATTGTGGTGTTGTTTTTGGCCAAAAAATCTCTCACAAGCAATTATGAGTGAGCAGGGGCATTATCGTGATGCAAAAGCCATGAATTGTTTTTCCACAATTATGGGCGTTTTCTTCGTATTGCTTCTCGTAAACGGCGCATAACTTCCAGATAATACTGTTTATTGATCGTACGTCCGGTAAGAA